ACGCCCCCACACCCTTCCACATCCTACCACACATACATCCCCCACACCCACCATACACACACACACATCCCACCAAGCGCACCCACACCCCACCATACCCCCCCACGATACACAACACAAAAAATTATGCAGTCACCTGTAGGTATACAACACAAATATAAATCATAACAAAAATATTTTTTGAAATAAAATTAAAATATGTTATAGTAGGTGTTTGACTTTCAGTGTATGAATTTTTTTTTTCTGGTTCTAAGATGGCAGCCCCCAGTCCCAAAAGAAGTATTTCCAGGAGGCAAGAGGAGATACTTCTGGTGGCAAAGGTTGAGAATTAGAGGGTGGGACTTCTGGTCACCCGTGGGGACAAAGGGGCAGGGCAACTGTCAAGGGCCAGGGCTACCCACGTGCCTCTCAACTCACCAAAACTCATTAAGCAGCCCTCCACCCTAAATAACTGCCTGCCCCTGTACTATACCATGTGTATAACCACCACTAAAGGATACTTTCAAGCAGGTGGTGTTTTAAAGTTTGTTTTAAGGTATCACAGCATATCAAGAAACCTTATCAAATATTTTTATCTTATTCTAATCCAAGGGAATAGAGACATTGTTACATTAAGAGTTCAGTGGGTAAAAATACAGCTACGGTAAGACTGATTAAGCCCAGAAGCTGCCCCATGTACTCTAGGATATCCATAGCTGAGGAATTAAACATGTCATGCAATGCACAAAAGCAAAAACCAAAAATTTTGGTTCTCTTGACAGTAATAAGAGCAATACCTAGTTTGACGGATAATATACTGCTTGCATTGAGGCCAATGTTTGATTCTGTAGCATTATTAAATGTCAGGTCTTCTAGGCTCCTCCATCCATCAGATGCGATTGCTTGGAAATGGTTTGTCACTGCCTGACTCACTGCTTTTGAAAAATCATCCCATGATGTTTGTTTGCGGATATTTAAAGCACATATTGTATTTTCCATGTCAAAATCCCCTGTACCACAGTAGGCGGGTTCAGCATCATTGATTGAAATCCTTAAAGGTATATTAAGAGCATCTGTTAAAAACAATTAGAGAACTGAAGATGGCAAGATCTGGAAATTCAATAAACAAATTATTTACAGATAATAATTGATAATAATTGGCATTTCTGCCTCTGCCCTATGCAGAACAGTAGTATTACAAGAACTACTATTTGAGAGGGAATACAACGGCAGAGCACTGTTTGCTACCACAAAACAGTTGAGTGACAAAACCAAAACTAAACTATAAATTATTACTGTATTTACTCGAATCCAAGACAAGGATTTTTTCCTCCATTTAACTTGGTGTGAGAGCTCCTCATTTTGTTTTTGAGTACAGGATGCTGGGGGCACAGGCAGCTGCACCCTTCCAACTATCCCCTCTTTAGTCTCTGCTCCCTTCACCCCCAGCTAATTACCTTTGCTCTGGCAGACATTGTCCCTGCTCCAGCGTGGGGTGCAGAGCATGGCTCAAGTCCAGCTTAACAGTAGCTCTGGTTGAAACCCAGGAGGTGAGGGTGCAGCTGCTACCAAGTCTGACTGGGAACAGAGCAAGCATATTCTCTGTGCCCCGGAAGGAGCAGGGATGGAGCCTGCTAGAGCTGGAACAAAGGTAAGAAGCGGGGTGGCAGCGGTGCATGGAAGGGCAGAGGCTGTGGGGGAGGAGGTGGAGACAGCAGGGGGCAAGGGAGAGGGGTCAGGTTGCCTGAACCCCTCACGACCTGTCTCTCCCACTGCTTCCTTTAGTGCAGTGGTGTGGCAGATGAAGTTAAGAGGCCCTGACAATAATTAGATTTTATATATATACAATTATAAATAAATGTATATATTTTCAAATGTAATGAATCTAATCATTGGGCAAAGGTCCATTTTAAATTCAAGGTCACCTTGGATTCAGTGAAATACAATATATGACACATTGGGTGCGTCTACCAGGGATGCTTTACTGTGCAGTAGCATAGTTTATGTGCACACGCTGACTGTGCAGTATAGCTTGCTAATCCTGAGTACATTTTCTACCTGCAATCGCAAGTAGCAAATTTACTTGTGATTACTTACTGTGCAGTACCACTAGTGTAGATGTCTGACAGGGAGCATCTGCTTGGCCAGCCATCAGTGGGTGGGAGACTGCTCCCTGCCCTGACAAGCTGCCTGTTGTTGGTGCAGGCTCTGGCACTGGAGCCTGGGCATGGACTACTGGGCATGCCCTGGCAGCAGGGAGCTCCAAGCCCCCTGATCCAAGATTGTGATCCAGAAGTGGGGGCTGGAAGATCCTTATCTCCCAGCTGTGGCTCTGTGACCACAGGGCCAGCACTGGTAGCTCCTTGCTTGTGGAGGCTTGGGGATGCAGTTCCTTGCCCAGCTTCATGATCACAGAATTGGGTGGGGAACAGGCTGTAAATCATGGAGCTGAACAGGGAACAGGCTCTCTAGCCCCTGTCCTGTGATTGCAGGTGGGGGCTGGGAACTGTCATGGTGAGAGGCAGGTCCCAGTCTTGTGCCCTCATTTGATCAAGGCACAGGGCCTGGAAAGGGTTGCAGGGGTTGGGAAGGTTCCAGCCCCCTACCCAAATCTGCTAGTGGGTCAGCTAGCAGTGAGCTAGCTTCTATGTGCCCCACTGGTGGATCAGGGCACGGGGCTGGGACCTGCCCCTCCCTTACAGCTCTTTTGAAGTCCCCTGGCCCTGATCAGAGAGCCAGGACCAGGAGCTCCCTGCTGCTGGTGCAAGGGGACACTGTCTCCACCTCTGAAGCAGGCATCCCCTGGCAGCAGCTTTCAATGTCCCAGCCCCAGTGAGGTCTCCTGGCTTGGTGCTCCCTGCCAGTCCCTGGAGCCTAGAGCTCCCCCTGGTGGCAGCAGGGGCCTATTGCAGGGCCTCAGGAAATCTGTTCCTGCTTCCCTGTACTTGTGAGTAAACTGCTCCCACATCAAGTGCACATGTAGACACACCCATTCAGTATCATTACGTTTATAAGTTGTAAAAATACTCCTATACTACTCAAACAAGACTTAATCTTTTATCTCCTATTTCCAGAACAAAATCTTATAAATGTAATCAAATGAGTGGTGGTTTCTTAAATGTTTCATTTTCCAACATGAAGGATCTTCGTGTTTGCGGCTGGAGATACTTTCATTGCAGAAAAGTACATATTAGCTAAAGAAGTCAAGTGGAAGGGAAGGCTAGTGATATTTTTTGATGAGAAATGGTTCTATTCTTGGAGAGAGGAATAGAAGAAAAATATGTTTGATAATAGAAGTTAAGTGTGCAAAGTTCATAGATTTTTTCCCCTACTTTTTATGGTGAATAAAAGTAAAACAAGGGAAGGAAATTTACATACATAGCACAGCAGATTCTTTATCTTGCTGTGGTCTTATAAGCAGGGCTTAATTCTACAGCAGTAGCAGACTAAGATCTGTTCATACCGTGAGGCTCATTAAAGATCTCTGTAAGATCGAAAGGCTGCTCTCTTTCATATTTACTACAAAAGCAGTATTTCATAAAATAACTCTGAAGTACTGAAGTGTGGTTGCAAAAAAGATACAAGCTTGTCTTAGAAATGATTTAACTATAGCAGAGCTTGTCACGTTATTTTTAAGCACTGAAGGGCCAGATCTTCAGCTGGTATAAACCAGTGTAACTCCAGCAAGTTCAGAGATGTTTTGGTTTAAATCTGTCAGACCACATCAGGGAAAAGACTATTCAAACACATGCTTCAGAAGTGGAACATGTATTAAAGGCATGGCCTTCTGATGAGTTCCAGGCATCTAAAGTGAGGTAAGAGGGTTCTGACATGATTCAGGAATGATGGGGAGATCAAAAGACCTATGTAGATGTGGAGCAAGGGCTGATGAGAACAGTACAGAGGCTTTGGTGCAAGCTATTAGTTTATAGGCTCTGATGGGGAAAAACCCAGACAGGGATGAGGATCAGGGAGCAAAAGCTCAAAAATTTAAGATGGAATGCTGTTTACAAGGAAGCATGATGTTATCCAGTGGAAAAAAGCACAAGAACCTAAAAGCTGCAGGCCAGCTCATCAGTGTATATCATAATTAGCAAAAGAACACCAGGAAATGGTGAAGGAGAAAAAAGATTAATCCATCAATACTTAGTGAATTTGAAGGGGAGCTGGATTATCTATGGGCCTATGGATTACCCATAGGCCAAAGGCAGAAAACAAGTGAACAGGTCTATAGAGTACAATGAAGGTACTGTGCCTTAGTAAGAGTATTTATTGTACAGTCAGGGGGCCCAGGACCAGCCAATTCTGTACAGTTACCAGACCCAGCTGGGAAGCAGTCATGTATAATTTATTAAGAGTTAAAAGAGTAGCAAGATGACAACAGGGGTCTTATAGAAAAGTTTCTCAACCCATGGGTCGCAAGAACATATGAAAAGATCATAAATAAACTTTAAAAATGGATTCTCCTTTAAAAGAGAAAAATGTGGGAAACCGTGGCTTTTCCTTTGCAGGCTGGCAGAATTCCAGCCTGCCAAAGGCTGCTCACCCAACCCCCCCATGACCCCTTCCCCACACTTCACATGCATACTCCCTGCCCCACATGTTGGGGAGCTGGGGGGCAGTGGGTTGGGACTGGTCATCCATGTTTACAAATGGGTCCTGGTAAAAAAAAAGGTTAAGAACCTCTGTTATAGAAGATCTTGAAGTTGGGATACTATAAAAAGGTAGTCTCTGATATTTTGTTTAAACTTTATGTAAAAGAATAATATTGTTCCAAAAATGATCTGGATGTAGGAAAAGTTATTCATAGGCTGTGGAAAACAGGGATTTTGCACCAAGAATCTGAAGAAAGGAGGTAAAGAATGAAAGAACTAACATGTAAAACTTCCAATGGGGAAAAAATATTTAATACTAAATGTACAAATTCCAAAGCATTATGTTTGTTTCTAGGCTTATGCAACACATTTTTCAAGGGAATAAAATATTTTATAGAATTACTAAAAACAGAATAAAAATTATCTAATAGTTCACAATAAGATAGTTTTTTTATATTTATTATAAACAAATTGGAGTAGTTTGCCAGCACACTTAAAATAAAAAAAAAAAAGGCTTTTTGGAGGAAAAAATATAGGCTTTTTGGAGAGGTAACAGTGCATTAATGTTTCATTAGTTTGGCAGGGTGCTGGGTAGTAAATATTTTGATCTAGTGATGTTCACAAATTCTTACTTACTCAAATTCTCTAGGAGATGTTTACAGTCATCAGTAGCAACATCATGCAGTGTTCGATTACACTTATCTTTCCTTTCACTCTCTAGTCCACCATGGCTACACAAGATTTCTAGGCAATTCTGGAAAGGAAAGAGCTGTATTACTTGTATTACTGTTTAATGGCTAAAAGAGAGAGATGTCTAATCAGTTGTTAGATTTCTGATTTTTAATTCCTGGATGTGCATTTTTAAATATGCAGAGAAAGAACCACTTAATGGAACTAGTAGGTGTGAGAATGCAAACAATATTTCTTGTAGACCTATAGTAAAGATCGCAATGGATTTTATAACAGGCTTGAATTTTCACACCAAAATTTTCCAAACAGCGTGCTTCCAGCCAGGATTCTAGATTTCAGGATACACAGAATCAGAGAATTAGAAAATAAGGGTTGGAAGGGACCTCAGGAGGTCATCT